GCAGGGGCAGCGGGCAGGCAGTACTCTGCATCCAGCCCCGTGCTGGCCTGAGCTCCCCCCGCTGCCTTCCACTGCAGGGACAGCCCTTCCTGCCCTGCTACCGCAGCCCTGCTCCATCCGGTACCTGGTCACGCACTACCTGGACATCTCCTGTGTGCCACGGCGTTCCTTCTTCCAGCTCCTGTCCTGCTTCTCCACCAGTGAGCTGGAGAGGGAGAAGCTGCAGGAGTTCAGCTCTGCCCAGGGCCAGGAGGAGCTGTACAGCTACTGCAACCGGCCCCGCAGGACCACGCTGGAGGTGAGGCTGCCCCAGAGCATGGCAGAGCCACTCCGTGAGGGCTGTGCCATGGATGAAGCACCCAGGCAGAGGATCAGCCATTTCTTGGCTGGGGAGTTTCATCTACTTCACTGGGGGATTAAGACCAGCTCTGAAGCTGCCTGGGCTCTGTCATGGGTCCTGTGCTGCAGCCTGGGGGTGAGAGGGGGGTTGTGGGACAGGGTTGGTGCTCAGAGTTACCCGGGGTGGTGTCTGCAGTCAAGGGCAGTGTGGGGCAGCCTCTAACCCCGTGAGAAGCAGGCAGGCTGCTTCTGGGCTGTCCCAGGTCTCACCCACCTTGGTTTGCAGGTCATGTGGGATTTCCCTCACACCACGTGTGCCATTCCACCCGACTACCTGCTGGACCTCATCCCGCGCATCAGACCCCGCGCCTTCTCCATTGCTTCCTCCATGCTGGTAAGATCTCAGCCCCTTTCAGCCTCAGTCAGGTTCTGGGCTGATGGTCTGGCAGGGCCAGGGCTGACCACTGGTGCTGTGCACGCTGTGGATGTTCAGGCTGTACTCCCAGGCCCTCTGAGCACCCACAGCCCACCCAAATCCCTGTTCTTCTGTAAGCCTGCAGCACCCTGACATGCTGGATGTAAACCTCAGGGCTCCACAAGTGCCAGGGCTGGCCCATTGCACAGCAGAGGTCTGGTGTCCTTGTCACAGGGAGCAGTGGGATGTGGTGGCATGGAGGCTGGGAGCACCCTGGGAAGTGTGGCCATGGAAGGGGGGTGCTGCTTCCTGCTGCTGCCGGGAGGTGGCAGTGGACCTGCCCCGGGTGGCTCGGCATATGTCAGCTCATGCACAGCTGGCATTTGTTCTCCATGGGCACCTCTTGGCTTGGACACTGTCTGTTGCTGTTGCTACCTGTGCAGAGCATTCCCACAGCACTGCCTCTTTGGGAAAATCCCCTTCCCCACTGGAAAGGTTTTGGGCCAGGGTGTGCTCCATTCTGTGTCCAAGTGGCTGTTTCAGGCTGGGCCGAGTGCTGCAGGTGCCCTGGCAGGAGCTGGGCCCAGGCTTTGTCCCTGGAGCAGGCACAGGGCTCTTCCTGCAGAGCTGTGCTGGGTGGCTTCTTGTTTCTTCTGACTCCTGTCTGGGCACAGGCTCATCCTGACCGGATCCAGATCCTCATGGCAGTGGTGCGGTACAAGACGCGGCTCAGCAAACCCCGCCGTGGCCTCTGCTCTACCTGGTTGGCTTCTCTCAACCCAGATCAAGGTAATTGTTTGGACTTTGTCAGAATCTTTATGTGCTTGCGTGGCACCCAGTGCTGCTCCCGTGGGACTGTGGTGGAGCACCACCACCATGGGCAGCTGGAGCATGCTGGCTTGGCAGGATGGGCTGAACTCATGATGACAGACCTTCCCTGCTGCTCCTGTCCTCTTCAGAGCATTGCATGCTCTTCTTTCTTGCCCTTAGCACCCTGAGCAGTTAGTTATGTCCCAGCTGCTTGACCCTCCTGCTCCCAGTGCCCTGCTGTGCCACAGTGGGCTGCTCCTGGTGTCCTGGAGCTGGTAGTGCTCTCACTGCTGGACACCTCCAGCCCTGTAGCACCAGTTCTGAGAAGGATGGTCCTCATGGGGTGTCCCTGCTGCAGGATAGTAGAGAACTACTCTGCATTACTCCACGGCAAGATTGGATCTTCTCAAAGAAGCTAGATGAGGGTCTTCACCCCTCCTCTGGCTCCCAGAGGAGGCAAGTGTGGCCCTCCCTTACTTGACAGCCAGACTGAGATCTCTGCTCACCTCCATTGCTGTCATCCCTGTGTGAGGAGAAGGCTGTCCCACAGCCCATGTGCTGTGGGGCTCTTGCCTTGCTCTGGGGTTCACTCAGGTGCTTGAAGAGACAGGGCTGAGACATCTGAAGTGTTTTTCACACACACCTACTGTCCCCACGGCACTGGGGTTCTTGGTGCTGGGGTGGTGCTAAGCCAGGAGCCACCTGGATCTTCGGAGGGAGGTGGTGGTGGGGTGGTGCCAGTTGGTCTGTTTGCTTTGCAGGTGATGTCTGGGTGCCTCTTTGGGTGAAGAAGGGGGGCCTGAAGTTCCCATCTGAGCCCGACACCCCTGTCATCATGATCGGCCCTGGCACAGGGGTGGCACCTTTCCGAGCAGCAATACAGGAGCGAGTGGCACAGGGACAGAGAGGTGAGGGTGGCCCTGGCTCTGGGTTCTCCTGAGGGCTTGGACAGGCACAGGCTTTGCTGTGTTTGGGAGCAAGCTGGGCTCTGGGGCAGGTGAGGACCAGAGCCTGCTGTGTGAAGCCTGTGTGGTTACTCACAGGCTGTGATGCTGTCCTTGGGTTGGGACAGGGCTCTGCAGAGGCTCTTTCTTGGCTCTCTGAGTGGAGATGGGTTACTGAGCTCTGCTGCTGCACAAGGACTTGTGCCTCTGCCCTTGTCCCATCCTTATTTCCCCAGCTCAGCTGTGGGTCTCAGTGGGGGGCTTCTGGAGGGGAACATGTAGCCATGGGGAGCTCCTCTTACCCTGTCTGATCCCCATCTTCTGCTTTACCAGCACTTGGGGACCTTTGGCTGCCACAGGTTACTTGGCTTCATGCTCATGTGGCTCCTGACTCTTCCAGGTCTGGACTGTTAGCCAAGCTCAGCAGAGAGATGAGAGCCACAGGTCCCGTGGGCACCATAGGAGCCATGCCCAGCACTCACAGGGTGCTCAGTCCCCAGCACAGCCCCTCTGCTTTGCTCCCTGCAGGGAACTGCTTGTTCTTTGGCTGCCGCCAGAAATCCAAGGACTTCTACTGCCAGGCAGAGTGGGAGGAGCTGGTGGCAAAGGGCTTCTTGACCCTCTTCACGGCCTTCTCCAGGGACCAGGTTAGTACCCAGAGGAGAAGGCAGCACCAATGGGACTCTGCCAGTGTTTTTGCACCTGTACCTGTTGGCATGGCCTGAGGAGGGCCTGGTGGGGTGGCACAGTGGTCACTTTGGTGCTGGCTGGCATCCCCCCAGCACTGCAGTGCCACTGCCCAGCCGGGTTGTGGAAAGGTGGTTGGGACAGGGCCAGCAAGCACTGAAGCAGATAAGGGTGAGCAGCTTGCTTTGGCTGGACCACGTGAGTGAGGAAAGGCTTCCAGCCTCTCAGAGATCACCATGCACTCACCTTTCTGGGTTGAGTGCCACCTTCCCCACCGTGTCCCTCTGATCAGTGGCCTCTGTGCCAGCTCTTCCCAAGCCTCAGCCATGAGGAGACAGCTCCTGGAGGTATGAGCACCCCCAGAGCTCAGCCCCTCACTTTGCTCCCGTATTTCCCAGGCAGTGTCTTTGAGAATTGGTATTTCCAGGTAGCTCAGCTGCACCAGTCCTTTTCTCCTGGCTTGACATGAAGCCAGCACCTTTTATCCAGTCACTTGCAAGGCATGAACTGAATGCTTCTGTGAAGGCCAGGTCTTTGATGACCCAGAGCAGCACTGCAGAGGTTTGTTGGGTGACCAGTGTGTCTTCTGTCTGATGGCTCACACTGCTGGTCCCTGGAGAGCAGCCCCAGCACCTCCTCCTGCCCTCACAGACTGGAGGGACAGGACTCACATTGCAGTGTGCCTCCCGGCCTCCCTCCTCTGCCTGCTCCATTTGTCATGAGAGTCTTCTGCCACTGAGCCCTTGTAGTGCCACACAGGGAGGCAAGCAGGGGCATTGGGCCACTGTATCTGCAGCTGTAGGAGATACATAGAGCCACAGGTACAATGGTTGGGGCAGTCCCAGGCACAGCTAGAGACTGGTCAGAGAAGAGATTCAGAGCAGCCTGAGGAGAAGGACTTGGGGGTGTTGGTTGAAGGGAAGCTGAACATGACCCAGCTTCAGTGTGCACTTTTGCCCAGAACCCCCCAGTGTGCTGGGCTGCACCCCCAGAGTGTGAGCAGCAGGTCAAGGGAGAGGATCCTGCCCCTCTGCCGTTGTGAGACCCCACTCGCAGCACTGTGTGCAGTTCTGGTGTCCCCAGCATAAGAGGGACATGGAGCTGTTGGAGCAAGTCCAGAGGATGCCACAAGGATGATTGGGGCTGGAGCACCTCCCATATGGAGACAGGCTGAGAACATTAGGGCTGTTCAGCCTGGAGAAGAGAAGCTGCGTGGAGACTTCAGAGCAGCTTCCAGTGTCTGAAGGGGGCTACAAGGATGCTGGAGGGGGCCGCTTCAT